CGACTCAGAACATCTTGCAAGCGGCCCTAAGACTCCGTCCACCACCATGTAGCCCAGGAAACTGGCACCCTCGCGCTACCCAGCATGCCGTTGGCCAATCAGAGAACCCCTTTGGAGCACATGGGATGGCCACAGCCAATGGTAGTGCCCAAGAATGCGATGATGGGTGGGGCAAAGACGGTGTATTAGAAAACCGGTTCCCTACGGAAACTCTGGCCAAAGGAGAGCAGGTTCCCGAGCGATGTGGCCCTGACCGGGTGAACGGAAGAAGCCAGGCTTGGAGTCCAGAGTCAAAGGGTCTAAAGGAATGCACGTTTATTCACTTAATTTGAAAAAAAAATCGTAGAATTATTGTGCTTAAAAACCATGCCATGCGATTAAACTTGCACCTTTAAATTATATAGTCAGTTTATAAATATTTAAACTTAAAATCTTGGAAGCTTCATCTAACTCTTTAAGACAAGAATCAACATTTTTTTTTCCTTTGGCATTTCACAAATGTACATGCTAGCCAGGTCAGGTTCCAACTGGCCGTGTATGCTAATGTGAAACTGAGGACAAAAAGTATAAGCTCCTTGTGGTGACTCAGTTTCTTGCAGAATAAATCACAAGGTCTGTGTATTCCTTGCCCTTGAAACTTAAATTGGGTCTCACACCCTATTGCCTTCATACCCCACCCTGCCTTCTTTTCCAGGTTCCCGAGTCCCCCCTGCTCCCCCCTGGCCCCGCCGCCAGTTCCTGGAATTCCCCTTCCCCCTTCCCCCATTGCCACCTACCCCCATCCCCAGTCCTAGCCCTCCTTTTTTTTTTTTTAACTTTTATTTAATGAATATAGATTTCCAAAGTACAGCTTATGGATTACATTGGCTCCCCCCCCACAATGACTTCCCTCCCACCCCCTAGCCCTCCTTAAAAAGGCCCGGCCCCTGGGAGTCGCCTTGTGCCACATGCTCCATCATGTACACACAGGCAGTTGGTCACCCACCTCTGCAGATTTATTTTCTCTGAATAAATTTGGTCTGGCTGTAAATTTGTAAATTCGTGCACTGCCTCCTCTCTATTCTATGACTCTTTTCCTAACATTTTGGTGCCCTGTGTAAGGAGGCACCAATCTGCAACTCTTTTCCTAACAGTCTGTCATTCAAAGTCCTCTAAAATCAATTCTCAGCCAATATTTTCAGCATGGTGTCTCTGGGTTTTTTTTTTTTTTTCTGTTTTTGTTTGTTTGTTTTTAGTTTGGTTTTTCACAGTTCCCCTTCCTTTCATCTCTACATCTCCCAAGACACTTGATTCTCTAAAGTGTGTGTGTGTGTGTGTGTGTGTGTGTTTAAGATTTATTTATTATTTATTTGAAAGGCAGAGTTACCGAGAGGTAGAGGCAGAGAGAGAGAGGTCTTCTACCACTGGTTCACTCCCCAAATGGTTGCAACATCATGAGCTGGGCTGAACTAAAGCCAGGAGCCAGGAGCTTCTTCCGGGTCTCCCACATCAGTGCAGGGCCCAAGGACTTGGGCCATCTTCTACTGCTTTCCCAGGCCACAGCAGAGAGCTGGATCGGAAGAGGAGCAGCCGGGACTCAAACTGGCACCCACATGGATGCTGGCACTGCAGGCAGCAGCTTTACCCACTAAGCCACAGTGCTGGCCCCATAAAGTGTTGTTATTAATGATTTGTCAGTTCTTGTTTTTACATCCCTTGAAAGGAAAACCAATTCAACTTTGGCAACACACACTATGCTTAGTGCTTAGTTTTTGTTATCTCAACCCAGGTCTCCCACATGGATGGCAGGGATCCAAGTACTTGAGCCATTAATTGCTGCCTCCAAGGGTGCACATTAGCAGGAAGCTGGCGCAGAAACAGAATAGCCAGGACTTGGAACCCAGGCTCTCTGGTTTGGATGTGGGTTTCCAAGTGGTATCTTAACCACTGTACCAAACACCCACCTCTGCAGAGCTAACATTCTGTGACTTGTTACTTTTCATTTTTATTAAAGAATTTTTATTGTTGTAACATGCACATAACAAAATTGACCATTTTAACTGTCTAAAATGTACAACTCAGTGCCATTTAGAACATTCACAGAGGGCTCTGCATTGTGGCATAGGGGGTTAAGCTGCTGCCTGCAATGCCAGCATCCCATAGGGGTTCTGGTTCAGTCCTGGCTACTCCACTTCCAATCCAGCTCCCTGCTAATGCACCTGGGAAAACAGCAGAAGATGGCCCAAGTCCTTGGGCCCCTGTACCCATGTGGGAGACCCAGATGAAGCTCCTGGCTCATGGCTTCAGCCTGGCCCAGCCCCAGCCTTTGCAGCCATTTGAAGATTAAACCAGTGGATAGAAGATCTGTGTGTGTGTGAGTGTGTGTGTGTGTGTGTGTGTGTCTTCCTCTCTCTATAGCTCTACCTTTCAAATAAAATAAATAAATCTTAAAAAGAACATTCACAGACTTACCTGGCAGGGGAGATACCATGATCATGAAGGTGGTTTTCCCAGAGCGAGGCTCATCCATTGCATTCCGGATGTGCTGACCCCTGCAATTTCCCCAAATGTGGGAAACTCGACTGCATAATTTGTGGTAGTGGAAGACTGTGTTCATGCTCTCCCCTGAATAAAAAAAAAGGAACATTCAGAGCAGTGTTCACTATTATCTAGCACCAGACATTTTCATCACCCCAAAAAGAAAATCTGTATACACTAACCCATACACACTGGCAGTCACTCCCTGTTCTCCCCTTCCCGTCCCCCGGCAACCACTAAGCAGTTCTTTGTCTTCAGGGATTTGCCCTACATGGAATATTTCACATATACAGACTTGTATGTGGCCCCTTGTGGTGCCTTCTTTTATGTAGTATGTTGTTTCTGAGCTTTATCCAAGTTAAAGCAAATATCAGTACTTCATTCCTTTGTAAAATTTGTATTTATTCACTTTCATTTTATTTAAAGGGAGAGAGATGGAGAGACACAGAAAAAGAAATCTCCCGAATTTGTTCACTTGTTCCCTCCCCAAATTCCTGCAACAGCCAAGGCTGGACCAGGCCAAGGCCAGGAGCTGGGAACTCAATCTAGGTCTTCTATTTGGGAGGCAGGGGCCCAAAAACTAGAATAGCTGTTACCTGCTACCTCCCAGAGAGCGCATTAGCAGGAAGCTGGTTCAGAAACCGAATAACTGGGGCTGGCGCTGTGGCGCAGCAGGTTAACGTCCTGACCTGAAGTGCCGGCATCCCATATGGGCGCTGGTTCAAGATCCAACTGTTCCACTTCCAATCCAGCTCTCTGCTATGGCCTGGGAAAGCAGTAGAAGATGGCCCAAGGCCTTGGGCCCTGCACCCACGTGGGAGACCTGGAAGAAGCTCCTGGCTTCAGATTGGTGCAGCTCCAGCTGTTGTGGCCAATTGGAGAGTGAACCATTGGATGGAAAACCTCTCTCTCTCTCTCCCTCTCCTCTGTGTAACTCTGACTTTGAAATACATAAATAAATATTAAAAAGAAAGAAAGAAACCGAGTAGCCAGGACTGCACATCAGTCATGTTGAGTGAGGCACCCACCTATATCAATATAAACCTATTTTTTAACTATATATATCTGCAAAAACCCTATTTTGAAATACGAACCATGTTGTGAGGTACAAGAGAAAGGACTCCAACACATGAGATGGGGTAGGGGACATGATATCTCCAACAATGATAACATACAACATTCATAAAGTTTCAAGGAAACTGGCAGTTTTGCACACTACCAAAAGGAATGCCAATGGCCCTTAGAAGAGTTTATCCAGCAGCATCCAGAGGAAATAGAAGGCACTCAGGATGTTTCAAATAGGAAAATTAGGGCAGAGAATTTACTTCACGGGTTACAAAAGATCTAGGAAGCCAAGCAGGGGCTAGGGATCAGCCATCACAAGAATTTGACGCCACTCCTAGGATGGAATGGACAAAGAAAAGAGGTGGTTGGTTGCCAGAGCCACCAATAGGAGCTGGGGCTTCCGGGTAAGATACAAACGCTGCTGGAGGCTGTTGTCTGACACAGAGAGGGCAGGTGCCAGAGCTTCACCCATTCTCCCACCTTCCAAGCCCCCTCGAGTCTCCCATTAGTCCAACCTGCCAACCAGGGAAAGAAAGCCTGCAACCATCACTACTAATTCCAGAACATTCTCATCACCCCCAAAAGAAACCCCAGCCCCCCTCTCTCCTCACCACACCACACCCAGCCCCTGCAGGCACTATTCTGTATTCTATCTCTGTGGATTGGCTGTTCGGAACATCTCATGTAAATGGAATCAAGCTCTCTGGTGTCCAGCTCCTTTCCTGTAACATCATGCTGCCCTCACACTGTCTTTCTTTTTTTTTTTTGACAGGCAGAGTTAGACACAGAGAGAGAGAGAAAGACAGAGAGAGAAAGGTCTTCCTTCCGTTGGTTCACCCCCCAAATGGCCACTATAGCTGGCACACTGTGCCGATCCGAAGCCAGGAGTCAGGTGCTTCCTCCTGGTCTCCTATGCAGGTGCAGGGCCCAAGCACTTGGGCCATCCTCCACTGCCTTCCCAGGCCACAGCAGAGAGCTGGCCTGGAAGAGGGGCAACTGGGACAGAATCCAGCGCCCCAACCGGGACTAGAACCCGGTGTGCCGGCGCCACAGGTGGAGGACTAGCCCAGTGAGCCACAGTGCCAGCCTGTAACATCATGTTTCTGAAGTTCATCCAAGTTGGAGCATGAACCAGCGCTCCGTTCTTTTCATGCCTCAGCACCATTCTCATCCATGGGTGGACCATATTTGTTGTTGTTGTTCTGTTATCTGCTGGTGGGCGTGTAGGTTGTTTCCACCTTTTGGCAATTGTGAATAGTGCTGCTGCGCACAGTGGTACATATATTTTTGTGTGAACACATGTTTTCAACTCTTGGTTATAAACCTAAGAACGGGCTTTTTGGACCGTATGGTAGTTGTACGTTTAACTTTTTTGTGAACTGTCAGACTGTTTTCCAAAGTGGCTACACCATTTCACATTCCCACCAGCATCGAATGAGGTGGGCTCTACATTTTTAATGCAGAAGAGGAATGCAGATTGCTGTTTAATCATGAATCATGTTCAGCAATGAAAGAACTGAGTACTTACCAAAGATTTTTAAACTATTCTGAGTAGTGGATGGATGAGTGTATTCCTGATTCTATGGATCTCTGAGCAATGTCCACTCCAAGGAGAACCGAGCCAAGGAAAGCCGATTTTCCCCAATGCTCGTTAGGCAGTAGCCCTCCAGCAGCTCCACGCTGACATGTCCTCTGCAGCTCCCGCTGCAGATGGGAACACCAAGCAGTGTCACCGAATGCCTACTTCGCCTGCTGCTGATCAGGACTAGAGCCTGTGAAAAGGATAGACCTCATGTTACAGGAAATGGTTAATTGCTCTGACTCCTCTGAACAAGGAAAACGTATGTGGGGACCAGTTTTCTCCAGTGTGTGTGCTTAAGCATCCTCTTGTCATAATCCAAGCAAATCCAGCTGTGAGGGAAGAAAATATCTTCTGTTGAGTAAAATGAGCCCTGACTTTGATAGAGTCATGAAGCATCTCACAGCTCAATCAATACCAAAAGTTCTGAGCTGCTGGGGAAATTTAATCGGTAGCCTAACAAGCATCGCTAAGTATTTCCAGACCCAAGGTAACATTTCAGCCTCTCAAAGCTCACCACTTGAGCTGACCTTGCTCCCTGGGGAAGGGAACTCTCTTCAATGTCTCTGGAGCTCCTATTTCTTCCAATATAGACATCATCATCTGCAGCTGCAAGGATCAACAGACAAATTAATTAATCAGAGTTGAGTTTACATTTCTATTGCCAAATTTCATCGTTTGCTTGGTTGAACCCACTTCCCATTTTGCTTAGTGCTAATCAGTGAGAGATAATATATGGAATGTAATTTTCAGAAATATAACAGTGCATTTTGCAATCATCTTTTTTACTTCTGTGTAGGCAACCTGACTTATTCTCAATATTGGCTTCCTGGCAGTCTGTAGTACAAATGGCTACTCTCAGTAATAGAAATAAAAATTATATTTGCTTATTGCTTTTCCTTCTTTGCTGGATGTTAATTCCTTGGTGTGTTAAAAATTGCAGATATTTCCATTTAAAAGAGTTTCTGGACTTCTGAAATTTGACAAATGCTTAGGGTCAAACAGTAGCAACACAGCATGTTGCTAACAGAGCTCCGCTGCCAATGATAAGGCTGTGTCACAACCAGGAACCCTCAGAGGTGTAATAATGAGCATGTGTGCTCACACATTAGAGCGGCTGGCTAGGGAGTGCTGCTGATCTTGCCGAGGGGGCTGGACACAATCTGAGGGCTGGTCGGCTAACCTACAATGAATCACCTGAACCGCAAGGGCAAGGATGGCTCCTTCTGTGTCTGTTTTCCTCTACCAGGCCTCCCTAGAGAATACTGTCATGGTAAAAGTGGAGGTGCAAGGGACCAAGGAGAAACACCCAACTCTCTGGTCCTAAGCTTAGGGGTAGCGCACATCAATACTTCTGCCACATTCCATTTGCTGGAGCAAAAGGCCAGCCTAGGTTCATGGATTGGGAAATAGACTTTGCGTTTTTAGCTAGAAGAATGGCAGAAGTCATGTAGTAAAAAGTCTGGATCCAGGGAAAGGTTAAGAATCTCCAAAACCCTATTCTGTAGCCTGTTTGTCTATTTATTTGCTTGTGTATTTGTTTATTTGAGAGAGAGAGAAACAGAGAGAGGTCTCATCCACAGTCAGGACTTGGGAAATCAGTCCAGGTCTCCCATGTGGCTGGCAGAAGTTCAGTTATTTAAATCAACACAGCAGCCTCTCAGATCTGCATTAGCTGGAAGCTAGAGTCAGGAGCAGAGCTACAACTGAACCCAAGTACCCTAATATGAACCACAGGCTCTTTTTTAAAGATTTATTTATTTTTATTTGTTTGAAAGAGTTACACACACACAGAGAAGGAGAGGCAGAGAGAGAGAGAGAGAGAGAGAGAGAGAGAGAGAGAGAGAGGTCTTCCATCCGCTGGTTCACTCTCCAATTGGCTGCAAAGACCAGAGCTGTGCCAATCCAGAGCCAGGAGCCAGGAGCCAGGAGCCAGGAGCTTATTCCAGGTCTCCCACACAGGTGCAGAGCATCCGAGCACTTGGACCATCTTCCACTGCTTTCCCAGGCCATAGCAGAGAGCCAGATCAGAAGCAGAGCAGCTGGGACTCAAACCAGTGTCCATATAGGATGTCAACACTGCAGACAGCGGTTTTACCCGCTACGCCACAGCGCCAGCCCCTGAATCACAGGCTCATAGCATCTTATCCGGCCGGCGCCGCGGCTCACTAGGCTAATCCTCTGCCTAGCGGCGCTGGCACACCGGGTTCTAGTCCCGGTCGGGGTGCCAGATTCTGTCCCAGTTGCCCCTCTTCCAGGCCAGCTCTCTGCTGTGGCCAGGGAGTGCAGTGGAGGATGGCCCAAGTGCTTGGGCCCTGCACCCCATGGGAGACCAGGAGAAGCACCTGGCTCCTGGCTTCGGATCAGTGCGGTGCGCCGGCCGCAGCGCGCCAGCCGCGGCGGCCATTGGAGGGTGAACCAACGGCAAAGGAAGACCTTTCTCTCTGTCTCTCTCTCTCACTGTCCACTCTGCCTGTCCCCAAAAAAAAAAAAAAAAAAAAAAAAAAAAAAAAAAAAAAAAAAAACCCACCTTATCCATAGGCTAGATGCCCAGCCCGGCAGTCTACTATTTTTTGTTGTTGTTGACAGAGATGGAGAAACTCCATTGAGATCTCCCATGTAGGTGGAAGCACTTGGCCATTTCCCACTGCTTTCTCAGGTACATTAGCAGGGAGCTGGATCAGAAGTGAAGCAGGGGCCGGCGCTGTGGCACAAGGGTTAAAGCCCTGGCCTGAAGCGCCGGCATACCATATGGGCTCCACTTCCTATCCAGCTCTCTGCTGTGGCCTGGGAAAGCAGTAGAAGATGGCCCAAGTTCTTGGGCCCCTGCACCCGCAAGGGAGACGTGGAAGAAGCTCCTGGATCAGTGCAGTTCCGGCCGTTGCAGCCAACTGGGGAGTGAACCATCGGATGGAAGACCTCTCTCTCTCTCTCTCTCTCTCTCTCTCTCTCTGCCTCTCCTATCTCTGTGTAACTCAGACTTTCAAACAAATAAATAAATCTTTAAAACAAACAAATGAACAAAAGTGAAGCAGCCAGGTCTCAAACTGGAGCTCATATGGGATGCCAGCACTGCAAGGGTGGCTTAACTGCTGCCCCAGAATGTCCCCCCCCCCAAAAAAAACCACAAGGGTGGCCAGCGCTGTGGCATAGTGGGTAAAGCTGCCCCTGCTGCAGTGTTGGCGTCCCATATGGCTGCTGGTTCAAGTCCTGCCTGCTCCACTCCTGATCCAGTTCTCTGCTGGTCTCCCACATGGGTGGTAGGAAACCAATTACTGAGTTACCACTTCTGCCTTCCAGGATCTGCCTAGCAAGAAGCTTGAGTCAGGAACTAGAGTGAGGAATTGAACCCAGATGCTCCGATGTGGATTCAAGTCTTAACTGCTAGACCAAACTCCCGCCCTTCAAAAATATATAGACAGAAAATGCATTTGGCAAAGAGGTACCAAGAACCAGTTTTGGAGAAATAACTATCTGAACACTTTGTTTATTACACTGTTGATAATGAATGTTTTGAAGTATAAATTTTCTTTCTTTAAAGATTTATTTATTACAAGGAGACAGAGGGAGAATCAGACAGAGAGATCTTCCATTCGCAGGTTCATTCCTCAGATGGCTGCAAGTCAGAGCTGGTCAGTCCAAAGCCAGGAACCAGAAGCTTCTTCCAGCTCTCCCACATGGGTTCAGGGGCCCAAGCACGTGGACCACCTTCTGCTACTTTTCCCAGGCCATTAGCAAGGAGCTGGATTAGAAGTGGAACAGCCAGGACTGAAACAGGAGCCCATATGGGATGCCGGTGCTACAGGTAGTGGCTTAACCAGATAGGCCACAGCATAAATTTTCAACTAATCTCTTAACTCCTCCACAGCCACTCTTTTTTTTTTTTTCTTTTTGACAGGCAGAGTGGACAGTGAGAGAGAGAGACAGAGAGAAAGGTCTTCCTTTGCCGTTGGTTCACCCTCCAATGGCCGCCGCGGCCGGCGCGCTGCGGCCGGCGCACCGCACCGATCCGATGGCAGGAGCCAGGAGCCAGGTGCTTTTCCTGGTCTCCCATGGGGTGCAGGGCCCAAGCACCTGGGCCATCCTCCACTGCACTCCCTGGCCACAGCAGAGGGCTGGCCTGGAAGAGGGGCAACCGGGACAGAATCCGGCGCCCCGACCGGGACTAGAACCCGGTGTGCCGGCGCCGCTAGGCGGAGGATTAGCCTAGTGAGCCGCGGCGCCGGCCTTTTTTTTTTCTTTTTGACAGGCAGAGTGGACAGTGAGAGAGAGAGAGAGACAGAGAGAAAGGTCTTCCTTTTTTTCCATTGGTTCATCCCCCAATGGCCACCGCGGCCGGTGCATCGCGCTGATCCGAAGGCAGGAGCCAGGTGCTTCTCCTGGTCTCCCATGTGGGTGCAGGGCCCATGCACTTGGGCCATCCACTGCACTCCCGGGCCACAGCAGAGAGCTGGACAGGAAGAGGAACGACCAGGACAGAATCCGGCACCCCGACAGGGACTAGAACTCAGGGTGCCGGTGCCGCAGGCGGAGGATTAGCCAGCCCTTCACAGCCACTCTTAGAGTAATAGGAAAATAATGGTTTGCTTCTGGATTGGATTCTTCCTAAGTACAAATTATCCTAAGAACACAAATTATATGATTTCCATTTTTTTCCAGAGAAAGCATTAAGGAGGAAATTAAATTGGATAACATCATGCCAACAATTTTCTACATGTAAACACTTGTGATTAAATAAGCATTGAAAGTAGAAGCATGCAAGGGAAAAGAAACTAACTTGAATGTCATTTATGTCCCTACTGTGTTAAAGAGCTTATACAACTTTTTACAAGCTCAAAATGAATGGCTAGCTCTTTATATATGTTTAACCTTTTTAAAAACTGAAGTGAACTTCACATAACATACAATTAAGCATTTTAAAATGAATGATGGGAGGCTGGCGCCGCGGCTCACTTGGCTAATCCTCCGCCTGTGGCGCCGGGACACCAGGTTCTAGTCCCAATTGGGGCGCCGGATTCTGTCCCGGTTCCTCCTCTTCCAGGCCAGCTCTCTGCTGTGGCCCGGGAAGCCAGTGGAGGATGCCCAGTGCTTGGGCCCTGCACCCGCATGGGAGACCAGGAGGAAACCCCTGGCCCCTGGCTTTGGATCGGCGCAGCGCCGGCCATAACGGCCATTTGGGGGGTGAACCAACGGAAAAGGAAGACCTTTCTCTCTGTCTCTCTCTCTCACTGTTTAACTCTTCCTGTCAAAAAAAAAAAAAAAAAAATGATGGGGCTGGCACTGTGGCGCAGTGGGTTAAAGCCCTGGTCTGAAGCGCCGGCATCCCATATGGGAGCCAGTTCAAGACCTGGCTGCTCCACTTCCTATCCAGCTCTTTGCTATGGCCTAGGAAGGCAGTAGAGGATGGCCTGGGTCCTTCAACTCCTGCACCCACGTGGGAGACCTGGTAGAAGCTCCTGGCTCCTGGCTTTGGATCGGCACAGCTCCGGCAGTTACAGCCAACTGGGGAGCGAACCTGCGGATGGAAGACCTCTCTCTCTCTCTCTCTCTCTGCCTCTCCTCTGTGTAACTCTGACTTTCAAATGAATAAATTAACTTTTAAAAAAATC